TGAAGTTACAAAGAGTGGGACACAATTTAGTGACTGTACAACAACAACAACAAACAGCATTAAATAAAAAAAATTTTAAGGAAAATCCCCCCTACTACCCTAATATATCTATATGCCAGCATTTTATCCTTTTATAATTATAGGGCACATGCAATTTTGAACTGTGCATTTTTCATATGGTCTCTTATTGCAAAAACTTTTGACACTGTGGACTGGATAATACTTTTTAAACATTTTATTTTGAAAAATTATCAAACTACAGAATATGTTCAATAGTAACTTCCACAAACCCTTCTAAATTAGCCAGTTGTCAACATGTTGCCTTATCTGTCTCAATCTTTCTTTCAGTATTTCCAAGCCATTTGGGAGCAAGTTGCTGACACAATGACCTCTAAATATTTCAACAGGTTCCTCCTAAATATTTTCTTACAGAGCCATAACACAAATCCAGAAATGTAATATTAAAAATTTTATCTAAAATATAATAATTGAATCAATGTTCAAATTTTTCCAATTGCTTGAATAATGACTTTTACATTTTTTTTCCAACTTAGGATCATGAATTGCATTAGTTGTCATGTCTCTTCAGTTTAATCTGAAATAGTTCCTCAGCTTGTCTTTTCAGACACTGGCACTCAAGAGTAAAGGACAGGGACTTCCCTGGTGGTCCAGTGGCTAAAACGCTAAACTCCTAATGCAGGGGACCCCAGGTCAATCCCTGGTCAGGGAACTAGATCCTATATGCAATAAGCAACTTAGTTCCCATGCTGCAACTAAAGATACTGCATGCTGCAACAGACATCAAAGATCCTGTGTTCCCCAACCAAGATCCAGCACAGCCAAATGAATAAATAATTAAAACATAAATAAATAAATGTTTAAGAGTAAAGGACAGGACTTCCTGGTGATCCAATGGTTACAAATCCGCCTGCCAATGCAGGGGACACAAGTTCAGTTCCTGGTCTGGGAAGATTCCCGGTGCTGCAGCAACTAAGCCTGTGCACTGTAACTATTGAAGCCCGTGCATCCTAGAACCATGCTCTGCAACGTGAAGCCACCGCAGTGAGAAGCCTGTGCACCACTCACTGCAACTAGAGAACGCCAGAGCCCCTCAACGAAAACCCAGCACAGCCAAAAATACATAAATAAATAATTAAATAAAAGAAGAGTAAAGGACAGCTGCTTTGAAGAATATCCTTTAATTTAGTTTGTCTGATTGTTTCCCATGACAGTTTAATACTTGATGCTGATAGGGTTACAATATTGTGAACTTGTTATGTTCATGCAACACTTTTGAACTTGTACATTTTTGGCAAAAATACTGCGTAAGTAATATTGTGTCTTTCCCAGTGTGTCCCATCAACACTGGTAACATTCATGGTCTCAGAATACTTTATTAAGTAGATACACTACCATACCTAATTCCTCATAGTTACATACTCTGGTTATTTTCAGGTTTCTCCTATTAAGAATAATCCACTAATGCATACATTCATGAGAAATTTGTTTTCATAGATTAGATAATTCCTTCAGGATAAGTTTTCAGCAGTGGAATTTGTACAACAGAACTTTCCCTTTTTATACATATTGGAATTCACATTGTTCTCCAAAGTCTTGTATCAACCTAACAGGTCACAATAAACATATCAGCTTGGGCCTTAAAGAAATTAAAAAAATTTTAATTATAAGAATATATTGCTGATAATTTTTGTCACTGGTTTTTTTATTTACTAATTCATAGCCTTTATCTTTGTTCCCCTACATTTATTTTGCAAATTTAAAAATCTACAAAATGTTGAAACAGAACAATAAGTACCTGTAAACCCATCATCTAGATTCTTGGATTGTTAATCTTTGGTGATGACTTTCTTTTTTTTTTTGGCTGCACCATGCAGCATGTGGAATTTCCCTGACCAGGAATTGAACCCTTGGAAGCACAGAATGTTAGCCACAGGACCACCAGGGAATCCCGGTAGTTATTAATCTTTGGATCAATAAGGATTGATAAGAATATTCATGATAATTGAAAAGTCAGCAGCAGTCAATGGGGTTGTCCCTTAGAATTGTGGAAATAGCTAATAGGATGTGGAGTCTCTAGGTGTAAAATAGATGGGGAGCCAACAATGGTACTATTTGACTTATATATTAAAAAAAAATCAATGATAGATGGTAAGAAGGCTGAAGGCAGTTATTACCAATAAAATATCACAATCTTTTGCCCATTTCCTGGATTTGAGTCAGTTTTCAGACTCAAAGTTCATCACCTGAAGGAGCGGAACCATGGCCATTAATGGGGAAATAATTTCCCCAGTTCTTTTCCAAATGAATCTCTAGTCATTTATTTGGATAGGTGCATAGTTTGGAAAAGGGAGTATCCAAACATTTCTATAATTGTTGGACTTAGGTTTGACTTTACACTGGTACCCAGAGACTTGAAGCATCATCCTGACTTCCCTTTTAGACTGAGAGCATATGAGGTTCAGGCAATAACTGGAATCCTGGTCAGGGTCTAGCTCCAGTGAGCCCACTGTACCCACAAACCTACCAGTGGTTATTTTACCATTCCCTAAATATATACCTGGAATAGACACACTTAGTGGTTGGAACCTTGGCCTAGTGGCATCGTAGTAACGAAGGCCAAGTGAAAACCTCTGACACTGCTCTACCTCCTCTACGAACTCCAGTTAAGATGATAAACCAAAGGCAGTGTATTTCTGGAAAGGATAGTAGTATAATTAGTACCACTCCTAAGATTCAAAAGGACTCAGGGATGGTGGTCCCCATATTATCTTGATTTAGTTAACAAGTCTGGCCCATGCAAAAATTGGCTAGATCCTAAAACATGACACTAGACTATTGAACTCAATCAAGTTGAAGCCCCAATCGCTACTGCTATACCAGACATGGGATCTTTGCTATAGCAAATTAATATGGCCTCAACAGATGGTATATACCTACTAATTTGGTGACATTTCTTTTCCACCTCTACCAAAATGGGGATTAGAAAGACATGGACAGGACAGTGTACATTTATAATCTTGCTCTCAGGCTATGTTACAATACAATATATGTTTCTGCCTTAGTATAATCCCACGAGGTGTTTTGTTTGTTTTTTTAGCCACACTGTACAGCTTGTGGGATCTTCCTGAAACAGGAAACGAGCCTGGGCCCCGGCAGTGAAAGCATAGAGTCCTAACCACTAGACAACCAGGGAATCCCCCCAATGAGGTTCTGAATGTCTGAAAATCCTGCAAGCATCATATTGACCCACTATATCAATGACATCATTCTAATCAAACTGGTTAAGCACAAAAGGGCTACAACATTGGAGACCTTGGCAGGACATATGTGCAATCAAAGAGTGGAGAATAAAATGTACTAAGATTCAGGAGCCTGCCATGACAATACAGTTAAAAAAAAAAAATATTTAGGCTGTGCTGGGTCTTAGTTTGTGGCACATGGGATCTAGTTCCCTGACCAGGGAACCACCCCCACCCCCTCCCTGCATTGGGAGCACAGAATCTCAGCCACTGGACCACCAGAGAAGCCCCTGAAAATACAACTTTTAAAAAACTTATTTATTGTTTAATTGAAGGATAATTGCTTTACAGAATTTTGCTGTTTTCTATCAAACATGAAAATACAATTTTTAAGAATCCATTAGTCAAAGGCATGTCAGGATATGCCTTCCAAACTAAAGGATCAATTATGGCATCTCACATCCCCCACAGTGAAAAAGGAAGCCCAACATCAAATATGTGTCTTCAGGCTCTAAAGGTAGTATATTCTACATGTGGGTTCAAGTGATAAGAAAGGCTGCTAGCTTTGAGCAGGGCCCAGAGTAGAAAGGGCTTTGAAGTAGTATCAGACTATGGTGCAACCAGGCCTTGGGCTATGCTGCCTGGAAGACATATGATGTTAGATGTGTCAATGGTGGTGAAAGAGGCTATGTGGACTTTTTTCAAACCCCAGTGGGATAATCACAATGCAGGCCTCTAGGGCTCTAGAGCAAGGCCACAACATTTGTAGCAGAGAATTTTACTCTTGAAAAAAAAATTCTGGCATGCTATTAGACCCTGGTAGAAGAAAGGGGTCTTTTTTGTTTTTGGTTTTTTTAGGCTGCACCGTCCTGTATGAAGGATCTTAGTTTCTTGACCATGGATCAAACCTGTGCCCCTGCATTGAGAGTGCAGAGTCTTAACTACTGGACAACCAGGGGAGTCCCAAAGGGGGCTTACTCATGGTTACTGGACACCAAGTAACCTTATGGTTATAACTACCCTGGTGAGGTGGGCTCTGTGAGACCTATTTCACCAAGTCAAAGCTTAGGCAGGCTAGCAATGATTCATTATGAGATGAAAGTGGTACATCTAGGATTCAGCACAAGTAGGACTCATGGGCACAAGCAGGTTGCACCGGCACCTTTCCTTCCATTTTCACTATGGCTATATGGGAAGAGCTTATGGAGGAGAAAGACTCAAGCTTGAACCACGGCTGGGTTAACTCCATATGTGGATGCAAGCTGAAAAGAGAAGTGTCACTACAGCCCCACATAAGTGTGGCCTCAAAAAAAAAAAAAAAGGTGGTGAGTGAATTTTCTCCCAAAGGGTATATTGTGTCCTGGCTCCTCTGCTCTGTGTGGAAAGGTAAGTGGCCCACGGTTAGACCATATGCAGACTCATATCAATGGTGAATGGCTTGGCCCTGGCAGGGATCTGAAGGAAGATTACAAAATTAGCATAGAGTAGGTCTAGGGTAGAGTGGATAGACAGATGAGAGTGTACACAAACTATGAGGATCTTTGTATCCTGTATTAATCTCCGCCAGACAGCATCCATCATGGAAGAAACATAAGCAACTAAGAAACAAAATGACTTGGCCACTTGATGGTAGTCAGCCTCTGTCATCAGCCACTTCAGTGCTTGACCAGTGGGTGCTTGAATAGAATATCCATGGTGACTGAATATGGACCCAAAAAGATGAATTTCACTTACCAAGGCTGATCCATCTACTATCATTGGCAAAATTCAACTTAGTAGACAAAGAGAGGAATCATCATTCCCTCAGAAATAACTGACCCTGATGACTAACCAGGAAGGGAGGATAAGCTTGGTGCCCAGAAAATCCACTTGGGCACCTCTTGATACTTCCTGCCCAATTGTGACAGCAAATGGACAAGTATACAAATTATTATGTACCAAAGAAGACGTGGTTCCCCGGGAACCAGACCTGTAGGATAAGGACCTGACCCAAACCATGGGGCAAACTGCTAAGACCAGCAGAGGTGTTCTCAGAGAATGATAAGAATCTTCAGCGGATAGTGGAGGAGAGGCAAGATGAACTCAGCTACAGCCCTGACATCAGGGCTGTAATTCTTTCCACTCAACTTCCACTTCTACATTTCCCCTAGAAAACAGGTCTACTGGATCTGGGAGGAGGTATTCCAGAATGTATGTGAAGAAGTGGGTCTAAGCAGCACAAGGGTTAAACTGCTGTCAACACAATGGTGAGTCACAAGGTTCAACTTAATGAACGGCTTGTTGCCTCAAGCTCTGTGTCAGAGTCTACTTCCCTCCCAGGGAACCCAACCAGTAACAGTCAATATACATAGACAACAGTTTAAAGTTTTGAATAATTATAGTTTGGAACATAGGTGCAGAAGAACACCTATATTCAGTATATTTTTAAAAAACTTAAAAGAACATGTGCTAGCATTTGAATTCACTTGGAGAAGTTTATAATTTGAATTATAATTTATGAACAAATTAGAAAAGATATAATGGCATAATTTGTCATAAAACTCTGAGTACATATATTAAGCTGAATATGTAAATCAAAGATGAAAAGTATTAACTTAAATGACACATGTGGCAACTTAAGTTGTGATTTACATATTTTTTAGAAATTGTTTGTAAATAATGCATGTCATGACCTGAAGGATTACTACTGCCATTTAGGATAATACAGTTTGAGAATGTGGCTGAATGTTATTGTACTTAGATAGATACCTTACTCACGTCTATATTTAGAAATGCTAAAATCCTGAAATGTTATTTCTAATGTCCCTGATATTTTTGCTTAGTAAAACTTCAGCATTTAAACAAACTGATCTTATAGTCTCCAATCCCCAACACCAAATTCTAGACCCTGGAAGGTAAGACCTTCCCACTAAGTGACATTATGTGATTGTATTAGTCAGGGTTCTCCAGAGAAATAGAATCAACAGGAGATACAAACAGGAATATATATACATACTCAGTCACTTCAGTCATGTCTGACTCTGCAGCTCTATGGACTATAGCCAGCCAGGCTCCTCTGTCCATGGGGATTCTCCAGGCAAGAATACTGCAGTGGGATTTATATATATAATATATAAATATTATATTTATATATTATATATATATATTATATATATATATATATAATAGGAATCAGCTCACACAATTATGTAGGCCAGGAAGATCCACAATCTGTGGTCTGCAAGATGAAAAATTAGGAAAGTCACTAGTAATTCACTCTTACTCTGAAGGCCTGAGAACCAGAGCAGCAAATGTTGTGTGTTCCAGTCCAAGTCCAAAGGCCCAGGAATTGAGAAGTTGATGGTAAGTCTGGGTCCTAGTGCAAAGGCTGGAGAAGATGGATGTCTCAAACCAAGTAGAGAGCAAATTCACCCTTCCTCCACTTTTTTGTTCTATTCAGCCCCTGAGCAGATTGGATGATGCCCACCCACATAGATGGGTGTATCATTCAAACACTAATCTCTTCCAGAAACACGCTCACAGACATTTCCAGAAATAATGTTTTACCAGCTATCTAGGAATTCTTTAGCCTAGTCAAGGGGCACGTGAATTTTTTTTATTTGAAGTATAGTTGATTTACAATGTTGTGCCAGTCTCTGTTGTACAGCAAAGTGACTCAGCCATATACATATATACATTTTTAAAAATATTCTTTTCCATCATGGTTTATCCCAGGAGATTGAATATAGTTCCCCTCTACTATACAGTACAGAAGAACTTTGTTGTTACATTTATCCATTCTAAATGTAAGAGTTTGCATCTATACCAAATCCAAACTCCCAGTCCATCCTTCTCCCTACCCACCCCCTCCATCACTCTGGCAATCACAAGCTTGATCTCTATGTCTGTGAGTATACTTCTGTTTAATAAATCGGTTCATTTGTGCCATACTTCAGATTCTCTATGTAAGAGATACCACATGGTATTTGCCTTTCTCTTTATGACTTCCCTGGTAGTTCAGACAGGAAAGAATCTGCCGGCAATGCAGGAGACCCAGGTTTGATCCCTGGGTCAGAAAGATCCCCTAGAGAAGGGCATGGTAACCTACTCCAGTTTTCTTGTCTGGAGAATCCCATAGACAGTGGAGCCTGATGGGCTCCATGGGGTTGCAAAGAGTAGGACACAACTGAGCAACTAACACTTCTGACTTCAGAGTATGATAATCTCTAGTTGCATCCATGTTGCTGCAAATGGCATTATTTCATTCTTTTTTATGGCTGAGTACTATTCCATTGTATATATGTACCACATCTTCTTTATCCATTAATCTATCAATGGATGTTTAGGTTGTCTTCATGTTTCAGCTGTTGTGAAGAGTGCTGCTGTGAACATATGGCTGCATGTGTCTCTTTGAATTAGAGTTTTGTTCAAGTATATGCCCCAGAGTGGGATTGCTGGATCATATGGTAATTCTATTTTAGTTTTCTTTCTTCCTTCCTTCCTTTCCTTCTTGCCACAATCTTTGGCTTGCAGGATCTTAGTTCCCCAATCAGGGAATCTAACCCATGCCCTTGGCAGTGAAAGCCTGGAGTCTTAACCACTACACCACCAGGGAATTCTCTATTTTTAATTTTTTAAGGAACTTCCATACTGTTTTCTATAGTGGCTGCACAAATTTACAGTATAGGAGAGTTCCCATTTCTCCACACCATCGACAGCATTTGTTATTTATATACTTTTTGATGATGGCCTTTCTGACTGGTATGAGGCGGTACCTCATTATAGTTTTGATTTGCATTTCTCTAATAATTAGTGATGTTGAGCATCTTTTCATGTGCCTACTGGCCATCTGCATGTCTTCTTTGGAGAAATGTCTTTTAAGGTCTTTGCCTCATTTTTTGCTTGGGTCGGTTGTTTATTGTTGTTGAGTTATATGAGCTGTTTTTATATTTTGGAGATTAAGCCCTTGTCAGTCACATAATTTGTGAATATTTTCTCCCATTCCATAGGTTGTCTTTCAGTTTTTAAAATGGTATCCTTTGCTGTGTGAAAGCTTGTAAGTTTTAAGTCAGGTGCCCACACCTGACCAATCAACAAAGTTCAGCAGTGCTGGGGTATTCTAACTTGGGTTATAGGGTTATAAAGTCACTCTTGGGCCAGTCAACTCTGCCTGGAGGAAGGGGTAGCATGTGTAATAATGTAATGACTCTGTGTGAGCCAGAGAGTTGAAGGAGTGGGAAGAGTAGCTTACAGAAAAGGGGAAGGAGTGACGTACTACCAAGAAGAGAGTGTTTAGTATAGAAGAAATCAAGACAAGAGCTTAATATCATACAGAGATGAATAATTACCCAGGTTGACCAACATAGGCATTATAAAATGTATAATCTCTAATAAAAGAGTAAAAACTAAAGTGTATTTTGAAAGATAATTTGAAAATATCTAGAGGGATATATATTGCTATATTAACAGTGGTTATTTCTGGAGAATGTGCAAGGGGAAGGGATCATGTTTGGGGGGAGACTTTCTAAATTCTACGATGTTTGAAATTTTTTATAAATATAACTACATTTGTAGTGTACCAAAACTTTTGAATATAGAGAAAAGAGAGAAGACCTACGATTCCTTAAAAGTCCTTTAAGCAACAGAAATAGGGGAAAGATAAATACCCAGAAACTAAAAGAGGTGCATGTGTGATAAAAAAAAATAACCCAGAATCTATAGACTATGAGAGAAACTGATTCCGTAGACTTGAAATGATGAAAGATAGCTGTTTACTCTCTGGGAGAAGAACATCTGCAAGAGAAACGAAATCCAAACTGACACAGTTGATAAGATACTGATGTCCTAAGTTGTTCAGTCATGTCTAACTCTTTGCTACCTTATGGACTGTAGTCCACCAGGCTCCTCTGTCCATGGGATCCTCCAGGCAAGGATACTGGAGTGGGTTGCCATTCCCTCCTCCAGGGGATCTTCCTGACTCAGGGATCAAACCCATGTCTCTTACGTCCTGCAAGGTGGGTTCTTCACCACTAGCACCACCTGGGAAGAGCAAGATACTGATAGGTCACTAAGTGATCTGGATTCTAGATAGGTTAAGAAAGAAAAATAAATAATTAGGGAATCTGAGGCAAGAAAAGTTGGTAAGGACTAGTTCAAATATTTCTAAGACCTAGATTGTTGAGATAGAACTGTAACCAATAATTTAAAACATAACACAATGGGAGGTTCAAAGATCTAAAAGCAAGGAATGTTACGAAATGATGAGTTTGCTTCCCCAGAGAGAACGGAATGAGGAAGAATAGCATGTTGCCTGATTAGATAGAACTTTTTTTTTCCAAAAAAAAAAAATAAATAAATAAAAATTGGCCAGCTGCTACTCTGTGTGAACACAGAATTTCCCTTTAGAGCATATCTTTTTCTGAGAGGAACTGCTGGAGTGACTGCTCTCAGTTATGTAAATGTATGAATATAGGCACTCTTTACCCTTTATTTTGTGGCTTAATAAAGCCTGCCCTTCCTAATGCCTCTTCATATGAGAATTTTCATAGAAAGCAAAAGGAGTCTCCTGGGTAGAAAGGAACCAAGACCTTGACCTCTCCTCTTTTGCTATTACAATTTATTACCATCTATTTAATGGATTGAGCTGGTCTCAACTGATGCCCTTGCAGTGAAGGACACCAGAAATTAGCCATGAAGAAAAGAGGCATCTGGGGATAGGAACTGGGCCCTACATGGCATAGTGTGTGGCTCCCCAGGAATCTCTCCCCCTCATCCCTTTGCCTTTCACTTGTTTTGGAGGATGTATCCCCAAATATAAGTCAAAATGCTATAGCTTTGGGGCCTACACCGAAGGTATTTGGTCTCCATTTGGACCAGCAAGATTACCATTGCTATATTAGTAGACAAAATAATACCCCTGAACTATAACTGTTAGTGAACTGGGCCACTGCTCTAATTCTTCTTCAGCAACTAAACAGTTTGGAATTAGGACGCCTCCTCGGCGAGTTTGGGATTAACCTAGACACTAGATGGCTCAGTGGGTAAGGGATCTGACTGCAATGCAGGAGATACAGGAAACACGGGTTTGATTCCTGGGTTGGGAAGATCCCTTGGTGAAGGAAATGCAACCCATTCCAGTTTTTCTTGCCTGAAAAATCCCATGGACAGAGGAGCCTGGTGGGCTACAGCGCAAGGGGTCACAAATATTTGGACACGACTGAAGTGTAGAACAGATAACCAGCAAGGACCTACTGTATAGCACAGAGAA